GCTGTGACTGGCTGGACATGCTGCAGAGGTGCTAAAGGAACGGCTCTGTGCATGGCCCGACTGTTGGCCCAGGGCTGTACAAGTTGCCACTGTGCCCTGGACCTGCAAAATCCATAAGCATCAGTTGAATCGTCAGTGTTTTTTGAAGCTGGTGAGAGTTGCTTAGAAGATCCCCATCCAATTATTGTAATATTCCACAGTAATATTATATGCAAAATGAAATTCAACATATCAGATAATGTAAACATACTTAACTGTTACTGATCTTTATCTGTGCTGAATGAAAAAAACCCAAGCAATTCTTGCCTTTTTTTTCCTGTAAGTGCAATGACCGTGATCTGATCTCTGTTTCCAAAATCTTCAATATTTAAAAAATCTTATTGCACTTGTAGACTGATTTACCAGTTTTGGTTTTCTCAGACAGTAATCCCCTCCTTGCTCTTAAGAAATTGACAGTTTCATTTACATTTTTCCTTCCCAGTGTCAAGTTGGCAGAGAACTTCCTGGTCATAAGGCTGCAAAAAGTATTAGAGACAGGGACAGATAAGCTGCTGAGTAACAGTCTAGGGGGCTGGGACTGTTGCCACTGTTAATTCTTAGCACTTCTGCTTTCTTTCCCTTCAAATGTTAATAGGTAAGGATACACAGATGCACACAGGCAGGCACATGGGTAGCCTAAGTTAGTGAGCTTGGTCTGTAGGGTGCAGGCTGAAGTTCTTTGGTGAAAGAATGAGTATTTCCATGTGGGTTAGTACCTGGGGAGATGATTCCACCCTCTCCCTCTAGATGACAGCAGAACACCAGCCTTGCTGTAAGGGATTGTTTCCTGAATGTATTTCAAAAGAATATTACTTGTTGTCCTGCTTGATAACTTTTTAGAGAGGTTGGAATTACTGTTGTAATATATTGCCCTGCTTCAGAACAAACTCTGCATACTTCGGACAGCTGATAAAAAGAAAAAGCACCAGGAGTTTAAACGTGTTCTTTTATGAATATCTGTTTCCGCAAACTCGAAACATGTTCGCACCTGTGATAAGTATCTCTGTATTTCACAGGCAAAGTACGAATCTGATGCTTCTTGACGAGCAAGATCCTGAACCCTCAGAGGCATCCTCCTTTCTAACACCACATGAATGCATTTTTCTGGAGACCACCGTGGAGGAGTACGTCTGTGCCAGTGCAGTGCTTGATGAATGAGCATGCTGGTTTGATTTTTGCATCCTTCCACGAAGAGGCTGATAAAGCCAGTGGTATGATGTGAGCTCCCTGCCTTGGGCTGCATCATCTCCCAGCTGGCCCATTAAATACCTCTCAAGCCTGTGGCCAGGGACAACTCTCAAAAGCAGGCTCCCTTTTGTCACCAAGGCAGATCAGGGTGAAGCGCCCTGTCCTGCTGCTGTGGGCTTTCCCGCCCACCCTCTTCTGCCGCCCAGGACAGGGCTCCTGGTGACTGCTTCTCTAAATGGCATTTGTTGCACCAAAGACGAGGCGGTCCCTCTCTGTTCCCTTGCAGCCAGCAAGGCTTTTGCCTGTGTGGGTTCTGGCCCTTGGAGAGCTGCTTTTTTTTCTGTATGGAGGCCTTCTCAGGGATCAGCTCCTTTTCCCAGAGTGTTTCTGCTTCCTGGGAGACTCCGTGAGACTCAGTGACTGATTGTCAAATGCTGAGCTAGGAGACGGAGCAGCATGCACCTCTGCCATGACACCCAGGGGATGCACCTGCATGCACTGTTGGCTATTTTGGACTTCCTTTGCTTGAGCTTGGTCCTGTAGAAAGAAGAAAAACATTGACAAGTGAATGGAGAAGGTTCTTTGGAATGCAGATAACTATTTCTTCTTGGAGAGAACAGCCAGAAAAAAAAATTACACAAGCTCTTCAAAAAACATATTTAAACGCTCTCTGCGCGTCCCCCAAGTGATCTTCCTCTCACACAGAAACAGGACAAGTTGGACTGTGAAACAGTAAGTGGATTACTAGTTGTATATATTTTTTTAATGGGTTGGCTTTTGTTAGCTTTTAAAATGGTTTCAGAGATGTTTGGGTATCCCAGTCACGCCGCCAAAGGTTTATGTCTTTGGAGTTGGAGGTACAAACAGGATTTGCTGTTGGGTGCAAACAGGAAGAGGGGGAGGAACAACCAGGCGGAGCAGAGCCGGGCAACTTTCTAACATGGCTTTACGTGTGGGTGGGAGAGTTTCCGTTTAGCTCCCTGGTTGCTCTCCTCACTGCCCCCTGTCCCAAGCAGCACTGTGAGAACCGGCTCCGCTGCTTGTGTCGATGCACAGTAATGAAAATACAGGAAACGTCCGAACTGGTTATTAGTTGTGTTTACAAGAATGACAGCTCTGGGTTTTGAGGTTGGGGAACGGGGATGACGTTAATTTTTTTCTGCAGTTATACTTGGATTATGTAGAAGCCAGAAAATGGGCTTCAAGGTAACTTTACCCTATGGATTAAAATATTGCTTGCTTTTTGGGGTTTACTTTCTAATTTGGTAGGTGCAGCTACGATAAAAAATCTAGAGGGGATAATGTGGTGATTCAGTTTTTCTAGAGGTATACATCGGTTTTAAGAACTAGCAACAGGCAGTGCTTTCAAAAAAAGGTTTTATACTCGAATACTTACTTTGAAAATATTGTGACTTACTCAAATGGAAGTTGCCCTTTTGAATAACTGTCATTTTACCTGTTCTTGGGCTGCAGCAGCTATTTGTCTTGTGTATATATACAAGAGACACGAGTTCTGAGTGGGAATACAGGGGAGGACTTTTTTATCCAAGCTGGAATTTTTGAAGTACGGCAGAATAAAGCCATTAGCTTTCATAACTTGAAAATTATTTCAGAGTGTATATATATAATATATCCAAGGAAAATTGGTTGTAGCTTAGCACAAATATCAGGAAAAAGTGAAATAAGAGAAGCACTGATTCAAAATAGAAAAAAAGGCAACAGAGTAAAGTTAGTCATTGCTAAAATCAACTCCAGTGAAACTATAAAGTGGTAGTGGGGGGGAAAAAAAAAAAAAAACTTCTGCACCTGAAGCACTGATACTTACCATAGGTGTCGATAAATAAAAATCCCATGTTTTGAATCCTGCTGCTAATTCTCTTACGTCCTGCTTGTAAGAGGGTAGAGTGTGATCGGGCAAGAGAGAGGCACTACCCCTGGCTGGGGGATCTGTGCTTCAGGACGGTTCATCAGCCCAGATCAAACTGGGCTGTTGAGGGTTACTTTAAGTTGGAGCAAGTGGGGGACGTGGGAGTGGGACTTACATATTTGTTTGGCTCACGGGAAAGACACTTTTAAAGAATGGGAGGCTCTGACATGTTGCCTTGGCTTGAAGGCAGTGAAGACCTGTGAAAAGTCAGGAGAGGCTGGAGTGAGAATTGGTTGGAGAAATCAGTTGTGATAAACCTGCATCTCACAGTGGGGAAAGATTCAAGAGTCTGAGGTCGATATGAGATTGCACTTCTGGGCAGTGTCAGGTTGGAGTGTCCCCTGGTCACTGACCCTCAGGGAAGTCAAATCCTGTTACTGGCAGAGCTTCTTCTGCTGAGCTTTGTGGCTTTCTAGTTAGGTGTTGCAGTGATTATGAGTTGCAACGCTGTAAAGGGTAGTTAGACGTATCCTCTCAAAATCTCATTTTAAATGATGTCCTATTGCTTTGGACTAACTCATAGCTAAGCTGGAACAATGTTCATTTTCAGTTGCAGTATCTTTTTTGTCCTCCTCCTCTAGAGCTAATCTTCAAGACTATAGCAATTGCTATTCACAAATCTCTTATTTTGCTCCACTTTGTTTCTGTTTCTAATACCAAACACCCCAGTCAAGGTCTCTTAGAGCTGTGTTGTACAAACAGAAGGGAGTATATGATCTCTGCCCCAGTTTGGAATAATGAGTCAAAGACTGAAGGTTTGTGCTCACTTCAAATTAAGTTAAAGTATCATCTGCGCCTGTTCACTAGACCTTCCAGAAAACGCAGGAAAAAACAGGCTGCAAATAAATATGAAGAACTAAGTCCAAACAAAGAAAGGTCTGAACTACCAGAATGTGACAATAAAAGAGATTTTCAAAGTGGAAGGTGACGCTATCCTGGCTTCTCCATTTGTATTTCACTTCTATTGTGAGTTTGAGTCATGGGGCTCAGCCAAGCTCAGCAGCTCAGGACCGGCACGGCAGGAATTTGCAACGAGCATCTGTCCAATGACGGTGTCATTCCCAGCACTGGTGTAGGGGAAAGGCCAAACCCGCGTGGAAGGACTGCAAGCCGGTAGTGGTGAGGATGGCAGAGGCCACCTTATGCACGTACAAAATGAAAGCTTTTATGACATCAGATAACACAAATTTACCATAATAAAAACATTACTATATACTGAAAGTTAGTTCCAAAACAACAAAATGTTTGAGTTAATTTCTCAGGCTAAACGTAGTAAATGGTAAAGACAACACAAAGACCTGGGTCTTTAACAAAGAACCAGAACTCAACTCTGTAGCTTTTATTTCCATTAATACTGGAAGCATTAAAAAAAAAAAAAAAAAGAACAGAACAGAGACTCTTTTAAACTGTATAACACCTTTCACACTCTGAGTTTGAGTCATGGGGCTCAGCCAAGCTCAGCAGCTCAGGACCGGCACGGCAGGAATTTACAACGAGCATCTGTCCAATGACGGTGTCATTCCCAGCACTGGTGTAGGGGAAAGGCCAAACCCGCGTGGAAGGACTGCAAGCCGGTAGTGGTGAGGATGGCAGAGGCCACCTTATGCACGTACAAAATGAAAGCTTTTATGACATCAGATAACACAAATTTACCATAATAAAAACATTACTATATACTGAAAGTTAGTTCCAAAACAACAAAATGTTTGAGTTAATTTCTCAGGCTAAACGTAGTAAATGGTAAAGACAACACAAAGACCTGGGTCTTTAACAAAGAACCAGAACTCAACTCTGTAGCTTTTATTTCCATTAATACTGGAAGCATTAAAAAAAAAAAAAAAAGAACAGAACAGAGACTCTTTTACACTGTATAGCACCTTTCACACTCTGAGATCTGGGGGGATTTTGCATATTGTGTCTATACAGCAGTATACAGCAGCAGAAACACGCAGCTACTGGAACATAAACCTATGGGTCTCTGAATAGGAAGTATTTGATCGGGACAAACGCCTCCCCTTACACAAACATCTCTTTGAATTTTAATGGCAAGCTCAAAGCTGCTGAAGAACTGAGATTCTCAGCATCTCTTACTATTTTTGTAGCAGCAATTAGCACCCAAAAGTACATTTGAAAAATGTCTGCGTAACTGTCCGCTGCTAGTGGATGGGATTTCAGTTTTTCAAGTCTCAGCAGCATACGCATTAAATTGTTTCATTACTTGGCTCTTTGCCTCTGTATGGGGTAAATCATCAGCCTGCTAAATCTGTAGATGGGACTGAGCAATCATCTCTGCTTAAAATCGTGAAGCAAATGCTAATGTGCTTCCCTCTTCTGTGGGTTACTGCTGTACTGCAAACTCCTCACTGCCTGTAAATTGGTATTATGGTAGCACTCAGGAGCCTCCGTTGTGGAAAACATCATACAAAGTCAGAAAAAACCTTATTATCCCTGCCCTAAGGATCCTGCACCGTCCTTTTTTACAATTAATCTTCATGTTTCTTTTTCCTGAACTGAAGTTGGGCTGAGCAGTTGCAGTCACCGGAGTTCTTTAATGGAGTTAGAGCTGCATAGCACCTTGCCGCTGAGCCCCAGGAGACCTGGGCTGTGTGAAATGTATGCTAGTATATTTGTTGGTGATTATAAAAACAACTTTTCAGGGTTAGTGTCCAGATTTGCTGCTGCGTAGCACATGAAAGAGTCCAAAGGCTTTTTTCTGTTTGACTACCTTCGTTATTAGTTTTTCTTTTTGTGTGTTTTTCTCTCCCTTAGAAACATGAGGGCTATGGAGTCTGATGTTTCATAGTTTTGCTGAAGGACATTTTGAGTCTCAGGAAAACATACCAAGGTGATAGAGACAGTGAGCTTTGAATGTGTAGAATGATCATCTAAAGCTAATTAGCTGTTTGTAGTTTTAACGGATAATCAAAGGCTGGGTTCTTATAAGAAACTAAGTGTGTACCATATTGCTCACTCTGAGGCTTTTTACATGCCTTACACAGACATACAGACAAAATAATTGTGGAAATGAGAAAGAGTCCGCTTGCTGCAGACAGAGCAGCAAAGACAGACTTGTAGCTGGGTTTTGTTTTAAATCTGGTGCACGAATTACCTGGAATTCCCTGACTTGCTGTCTGGCTTGACCCTGCTTTGTTCGAAGCAGTCACACAAATGTGGTAAGTGGTGTATGGTAATAGATTATACAGAGTGTACTGCCTTGCTGTGGAATAAATATTGTCCAGAACAAACTGTCTGTCCTCGTTGCCTTGGGCATGAAGCATCAGCTCATAGGTGTGAACAACTGAATTTGGGGCGCACCAGTGTATCTGTGCAGAGCTGTCTGTAACTTCAGACACCTCTCTCAGCCTCGGTGGGTCTGGAACCTCATCTTCCCTCGACGTGCCAGGACATAAACATTGGGATGCACTCTGAAGTTCACTGCACGGCTTCTGAAGGTGTCTGCAAGGGTTGTAGTCACAGGAGGTGTATGCCAGTTGCACTGGGGTTTCCATTGACTGTTCATCGTAATCGTAGTCATCCACATAGTGTATCAGTGATCTGGTGGATGCAGGCTCTGACCGAGCGTTGGTCCTTGTGGAGTTCAGCTGTGGTAGGCTCGTTTGTGGTGTACCTTCCCCGGCATGAGTGGCAAAGGAGTGGATATAATGGTCAGTGGCATCGGGGTTTCCTGTTGCTCTAGTAGAATAATCACTAGTGGGCTGGTTGAACGGGCCTTCCTGGGGAAACGTCGCATCGGTCGTTCTGAGCTCTCTCTTTAGCTGATCTGTTTCAGTTTGATTCGTGGAACCATAATCTGAGGAGTGACTATAGAGCTCTTGGAGAAAACTTGGGGAGCTGGTTACGGACACAAAAGAAGGGGGATGGCTCGTGGACTTGGAAACTGCCACCTCCTCCTGGGAGGAACTGTTGGCCTTTGTGAGCATCGGCTCAGTTGGGTTGGCTGCAGTTGTGCTCATTACATTCCTCTGAATTAGGGAGCTGGTAGAAGTGTCTTTGGTTAGTGGAGCAGAGTCGGTTGTTGTTACTACGGTAGTTGCATCAAAACTGGTAAGGCTGAAAGCATCGCGTTCGGGAGAGGGTGTGTTTGAATCGGGCAGTGTAACGTTTCGCTCAGACTGGCATTTATTGTAGAGCTCTAGCAGTGAAAAAGATGTTGAAGGTCTGTCCCAATCTTCCTGGGATGTGTTGCAAAAAGTCTCCCAAGCCCTGCAGAGGGGACAAGTTAGCATAGACAAGATCCACAAGAACATTACAGGCTGCTGTTAGGCTGCTTGGATTGGAAGTGGCAACCTGCTGTCCCCAGACAGTCTTTATATTAAAGAAGACATGAAACCTAAACCAAAGCTAGGTTGTCTTAACGATAGTCCTGTGCTTGGCAGATGGCTTTATACAGCACTGGGAACTTAGGGGACTGGCTTTTTGGTTTTGTAAGGTGCAGGAAAATCTTTTGCCTGAGAAGAAGCATCTTTTGCTACAAGGACTGTGAACCTTAGCAAGAGTGTCAGGGTTCAAGGTAACTTGTTGTAAAGGGTCAGACTTTAATGCCACACTAGGAGGGGAACGCTTGCAGAGAGATTTAACAGGGTCCCCAGGATCCTTAAGTCAGCTGGTTTAGGCAGCTGGAGCTGTGCTGACGCGGGATGTGCTTTTAAATGACCGAGCTCGAGTTCTTTCTTTACTCAGACATCGCATGTTTTTGTAAAGAATGCAACTGCTAAGCCCATCCTGATGAGAAGCAATCTAATTTTAACAATCTACTTCCCTGCTCTGTCCACTTCTGATGAGAAATCTTCTCGGTGGCCTTTTAAAAGGAAGGGAGATCATACATATGCAAAGCACTTCTTTTAACTACAGCTTCTTGTAATTAGTCTGTAAAACTGTAGGAGAGCATGGAAACAATAGGTGACAAACGGGGCTATTTGCAAGGGGTTTTGTTGACTGCCTGTGCTGATCTAGGCTTTGGGAATGCAAGGGCAAAGAGGAAATAATTTGCTAAATATCTTGCAAAGTCTTCCAGTTCCTGCTCCCAGTGGTGGCCCATCAGGGCCACCAAGCCAGCTCATTTTTTATCTCCAGCTAATGGAGAAATGTGAACTGAAATAGAGAAAATAAGCTCTTCTCACCTTAAAGTAGAATCCACAGCTAATAACGCTTTCTACTGTTCTGCGTGTGCCCATGGCATTTGTCCACAATCAAGTACAATTCAGCCGTGCTTTGTCCCTGAAGGGGACTTTATTTTGTATTTCTACCTCTTGTGGAAGGGAAGAGCACACAAGGAATTTGAATAACTTAGATGACAGTGAATGTTTGGTCCCCAAATAACTTACATATTTAAGTTGTGTCTGAAAAGCATTACTTTATTTCCTTGAACTCACTTACTTTTGCAGTACAACTTTCTTGGGCTTGGAGAGCAGCCAGGAGAGCTGGCAGTTGCACAACAGAGGATTTCCGTACAAGTTGATGATGATGCTACCCGATGAATTGGTATTCCAAGGATTAAAGGAACTCAGGTTACAGCTACAAGATGACAAATGCAATAATTAGCGAACGCTGAGCTACCTTCCAAGGACTGGAGTGTGCTTAGGATCCCAGAGTGTGTAAGACACAAAGCAATATTCTCAGTTCCCTTGGAAGTAGCCAGTTATCAACACCACCATTCTGCACTTTTAAGTCCAGGCTAATGCCTGCCCATCTCTCTAATTTGCACAGCGTAGCTGCTGTGTGTTAAAGCATAACAAAAGCATTGTAAGGGGATAACACCTTTAGAGATGGCAGCTGGAAGGGAAAGGACCTAGCATTTGGCAAGGGTCTTCTGTGAAGGATGCTCTCCTCTCTGCCGTCGTGCGTTCAGCTACACTTTTCTTTTATACTAAGCCATTTCTCTAGCTTCTTTCTCAGTCTGCTTGTAATGGCTTGTCTTTCTGTATGCCAATCATCCTCTTCATGTTAATTGCCTCTTTCATAATATACACTCTCACCGACTAAGGTCAAATGACTAATACGGGAAGACCTTCCTTGCCTTTACTGTTAAGCTGTCCTAGCTGCAGAAAGAGTGTGATAATGTGACCTCCCTGTAGTCTGAGTGCTCAGAAGATGCTCTCTTTTGTCTGTGACTTTAACTGCTACTCCTTTGTTTTTTTTAAGTTTGGGTCATGATTTTTAGCACTTTGAACTGGTATTCCTGCAGGTATTGTAAAGTGCTGTGTAAATTCAGTGTGGCAATCTAGTGGGGGATGGAATCCGTTGGGTTTTTTTGCTTAAATGGGTATATTTTCCTAAAACTGGTTCCTAGAGCACAGCCAGTGCTCTAGTGTTTGTTTTCTGATATGCTTATAATCTGGGCCTATATTACAGAATTCTTGTAAGGTGCTCTCCAAATCTTTTCCTTTATGCTGACTGTTCTGTGTGCAGTTTACCTACCCTTATTTTGATAAATCACCTTCAGACTTTTCTTTCCCTTAGTATTTCAACAGGTGCGTGGCATACGAAGTAAATCACAGAGGTGTTACCTCTAGAATAAGGACTAAACCATTGCTCTTACTAATGCTGAACAAGGAACTATATTAATGTCTCACACTAAAAGTGGGAGGGACAGGATTTTTGACTGCTTCCAAGGTGCGGATTTTAGGAAACTGTCAGCATTCATCCTTTGTAGAGCAAGGAATCCTCAGTGACCCGCTTCTCCTCTGGTGAGACATTGCCATTGTAGATGTTGGAAGCATGGGCTGTATTGCAAGTGGGCTTCAGTGGGTCTATGCCAATCTTAACAGCGCTAGAGGAACTCATCCATTGGGCTGGGAGATAAGGCAGAAGAGCGGGAGCACGATGGATGCGATCTCAAGCAACCAGTAACTGTGCTGTGAGTCTCATGCCACCTCTTTGGGCTGTATCAGCTCTTCTGCTGTATCAGGTCTACATCACAGGCTTTACGTGGCATATCTGAGTATAAGACAGCACGTTTCTCCATAGCACGCAAGCCCATACCTCCTTCCTAAATACTTGATAACAAGCAAACTCTGCATAAAAATCAGCTCCCAGGCACCATGGTGCTGTGAGGCAAAGGCAACGTTATGTGAGGAAGAACAAAAAAGAAAACAACTCACTTCTCAAACGAGAGATGGCTCAGATGAGGAGCACTGTCAAACATCTCTGTCCTCACGAAAGCCAGTGAGTAGGAGTCTTGACAGTTCAGCTCTTGGAGACCAGGCATGGACTTGAAGAAGTCAGTATCGAGGCTTCTTAATCGTGACATCTTTGTCAGGTGAAGCGATCTGAGGTTGGGCAAATCTCTGGTCCACTCTGGTTGAACTGAAGCAGAAAAAAAATTTATATCTGTTGCCTAAATAGAGCATTCCTGTGGATTTCTGCCTAGAAAAAAGTTTTGAGTTCATAGGGATATAAAATATCTCTGTGGTCTTCTGCAGCTATTCTTCTTGGGAAAGAAATAGAACAAAAATCAATACACCAGTGTATAAACACCCATGCAATCACATTTTTGTAATATTACCTGCAGGTCATGCTGTCGTAGGGCAGAGGTAAAGAAGGGAAGATAGAAGGACGATAAAGCTGATAAGAGATATGGAATAGGTTTCCTATTAGGTGAGATTAAATGAACAAGGATTTCTCTGCTCAGAGAAGTGGTAGGTGGGGGGAGATTAGAGAGGTCTACAAAGTCTTGACTGGTGTGAGAAAGGCAAGTAACTTCTTGTTTCTCCTAGCGCAGGAAAAAGAGCTGAGAGGCATGAAACTGAAAGAATAGGCCTTACACAAAAGTGCCTTTCCGTCCCACGACTGAATTGTGTAACTCACTACCACAAGAAGGATTAGGTAAATTCATGGAGTAAATTTGGTGGTGTATCTGTTAAATGTGGGTTGAGGTGAAACCTCTAGCTTGAGGAGTCCCTAAGGTCCTGGCTCTGCCCCAGGCTGAGAGCAGCTGAGCAAGGCATCTAACATCTGTCCGCTTCAGCACCTCAGTTATAAACCGAGGCTGGCAGGGGAGGCAGACAAAAGAAAAAAAATCATGCTGTAAATTGCTCAGGGCAGGGATTGTCTCCCTGTGCGGAAGTATTTGGTTGGTTGCGGTTGACACAAAAAGCCTCTCTGTGCTACTTCAATACAGTTGTATAAAGCAGAGTGTAACTGTGGGGATAGACAAAGAAAGATTTCAGCAGTGTGTCTGGAAAGGGAAATGAATTTCCTCCTGTGTCTCCCAAAGCTAATCTCAGGGCTGACAGTGGAATTAGGACAGAGGTGGGGGACTACAGTGGGACAAGTAGTCCTGTTTGGTGGTGTCCATTCTCTGCTCTTCCTTTGGGAGGGTGGTCTGCGTGAGGGTTTCCCGCCAGCAGTTGCATCACAGCTGGAGAGTGCATTGCACGCTTGGACCAGCTGTTTGCAGCTTTCAGCGTGGGGTGTTCCCCCTCCACCCCGGGCTCGGCCAGGATGGGAGCCATCGTCCCAGCGAGGCTTCTGCTCCCCCCTGGCCTGACCAAGCCCCATGTTTACAGTGGGAAATCCAGAAACTTACTTTTCTCAAGAAAGGTCCCGCTCAGATCAAGCACGTTGATGTTGTTTCCAGGCCTGTTCGTGGCCTCGCTGGGAGATGTGCTGATGGCAAAAGCAGACTCCCTAATTCCTCTGCTGTCATCCTGCCCGAGCAGCGTTGCAGAGAGGTTTAGGAACTGTAGCTGAGGGTAACAGGAAAAAGCCAGCGGCTGGATTTCAATCAGTGGATTTCCAGCCAGGGACAACCACCTCAAGTTAGGCAGGGCAGAGCTGTGGCACGATGGCACCGACGACAGCTTATTAAAGCTTAAGTCCAGGGAGAGGAGACTGCTGAGGGCTTCAGATCCCCATCTAACTGCCTGGAGATGGTTCTGCCTCAGCGAGAGGACGCGCAGCCGTGGGAGGTTTGCTATCTCCGTGCCATTCACCTCTTCTAAGAGGTTGTTGCTGAGATCCAAGGTCTCCAGGGCCTCCGGAAGGCAGACGGGGAAAGCTGTCAGGCTGCTGTTGGTCAGCTGCAGGGTGATCCAGGTCCTGTTCTTCCGATCCTCACAGGACATGCTGGTGAGATTAACGTTCTCCCAAGAGTCTTCCTGAGCCAGCTGGAAAAAGGTGGTGATGTCCCTGGATGCTGCAGGCTCTGCTCTGCTCACCGGGCCCGACGCTGTGTTCCCCACCAGCAGAGAGAGGATGAGCAAGCGTGAAAACATCCTTCTCCTAAGTGGCTTGCAATTAACTTGCAAGATCTGTTTGGTTTTTGTTTCAGGGAGGGGAAAACAAAACATCAGCATTAAGAGCTAAATTAAATCCCTCCAGGCAGCTACAAGCTATCTAAAAGTGAAACATTTGTAAGTCCTTTCCTATTGCATCCAGACAGCGGAAGTGATAATTAATGTCTCTTCTGTAATTAAGCCTAAGTAAACATGAACTCTTGGGGACAGAAGTATCATGTGATCTTAGTCTAAGCGTACCTACAGTTTTTCATGCAGAAAGCAACCAAGTTGTATCACGTGTCTGGTTCCCACGCCAGTACCCTCAGCACCAGACCGGCACCCAGAACAGCAGCAGCGCAGGAGGTGGGCTCCCTGGTCTCTCTGCTCAGCTGCCTCTGTGCAGTACCGGGGTATGAGGGAGTGCCAGTGCTACTCCAGTATAAAAATACCGGTTGGGACTATACTGGACAAGCTGCAGGAGAGGGATATTGCCATGTTATGGGACTTGACTTTTATACCTGATTGTGTATTGCTCTCTACAGGGCTGTCCTGCTGCATAGTGTCCAGTTTGGCCAGCCCACTGGGAAGAGTTATCTAATGGGATGATACCCAAGCAACAGGGCTAGGGTCAGGTGGGACCGTGGCAAGGGATTTTTTTTCTGTGAGGTTGTCTGTACAAAGCAAATGTATGGATCCAAAGGCAGGGGAGGGTTGTTAAACATTAAAGGACGTAGGAGCCCAAACTGGGCTGAGCTGCAATGGCGTGGGCAGGTAAAAGTGCCTTTCCTATGTTAGGAAGGGCTTTCCCTCCCTTAGCAGAAGTTGAAACAGCAAAAGTCCAGGGCTCGCGTGGGCTCTGCCAGGGCAGTTCTGCCCTGTTATGAGTGACAGCCACGGTGGGGACCCCAAAGGCACTTTGAGACTCGCCCTCCTCCTCTGCTCCTGACCCACTGGCAGTGCCCTGGAGCCTGTCTGCCAGGCGGTGGCAGGGCTGGGGCCCTGCTGCAGGTGAGTGCCTCAGGTGTGGTGTGCACCCCAGCTGCTGGGGAAAGGATGTGCTGAAAATGCAGCTCCCGAACCACATTTCAGTCAAAGTGGTCAGAAACGGAGAGTGTGCTCCTGGAGCAGGGCCCTAAAGGCCTGGGTACCAAGAAGCATGTTATTCAGTGTTACAGTTCCTCCTCATCCCACCCCAGCTTTGTCTTTGTCATTTAAAAAAAAAAAAAAAGAACAGAAAAAGAAAAAAAGCTCTAAATGTTTTGCCCAAGGCTGCGCAGGTAATCTGTGTCAGAGGAGGGAATTAACCAAAGCCCAAAACTAGTGCTTTTCTTACTGAGCTGTCTTTTGTGCTGCCAGGCATCACAACGATCATTCCTCATCCAAAAATATATTACAGTGTAGGGGGGTGGCTGAAGCCCCATGTAGTATGAAATATCTCTGACTTATTCCAAACCTTAATAGCTACTTGCTGTTCCCTGAATGGTGCCAGAGCTTGCCCAGACCATCATCTGTTGCTGCCATCCCAGGTTTGAAGTAGGGACCAGCAACATAGTATAATTTGGTTGCCTGTGTCCTTTTTGTCATCTGGAACCAGGCAAGAGCTGAGCAGCCTCAGGGCTTCCTGGTTACCAGAGCTGCTGGATTCCCAGCACATGGCAGGGAGAGGGTGGGAGGAATTGCACTGCTGGATCCCGATCTTAGATTTAATCTTAGTCCCTGGCTCTAAACCGCATCCGCTTGCACGTACCTGTCCAGAAGTCCTGATGCCTCGTGCTTCTGCTCTGCGTGGCTCCGATTGCCTGGCCTTGATTTTATACACTTCGGTGACTCAGCTGAGAGCGTGAAATGCCTCTTTTCTGTTCCCGGCTTTCCCTGCTCGTGGCTCTGCCCACAAGCGCAGGCGAGGTTTGTTCCAGGCTTGCTCCCCCGCATCCAGCTTTCCCCTGACTGGAGAGGGGGTGGCTCCAGGCAGCTTTCCCCGCTCCCTCGGCCCTAGTAGGAGGTGGGTGGGAGGGCTCTTATTTCCCAACACTCAGGCAGGGCTGCTCCGTCTGTCTTTGTCTAAGCAGAGGGGGATAAAGGGAAAAGATCAGTGTCTGTAGTCCCAACTCTCACGTCTTCCAGTGACAGGGGGGAAGGGAGAGGAATTATTGTGTTTCTTTGCTGACAGGCCATGATGATGTAAAGCTAAGGCTCTGTCTGCTGACATGGGCTTTGGTTGCTCTCTAGGCACCAATAAAAGGCTTCAAGTGTTTTTATTTCTAAGACTCTTGCAGTTGGGAGTAATTCCTGGAAATGTTCACGCAGGACAAATGACTTTTCTAAGGAGGCCCTTGGGAAATGTCAAAAGCGAAGCTCTCACCTACCACTCCTGCAGTGAGGAATGCTCTCTGCCGATGGAGAGGGCCTGCGGCATCTCATGCTGCACGTGATGGACTTGGGAGGCCTCTCCCGGTCCTGCTGTGCGTGGGTTGTATTCTCTGTTCTGCATCTGCCGTACTGCATGGCTTGGGAGAGTTCCCATTCGGCTCCTTCTCTCATCCTTTGCTGGATAAGCAAGACTGACAATGTAAAACATCTCCCACCAAGGGACCTGCCCTGAGCTGGGTTTCTCAGCATTCCCACAATTCGAATAATAATTTGGCTGGTCAAGGGCTGAGAGTAAAGCCAGGAATGGGAAAGGGATGAATTGATGGAGATTGTTCCACAGTAAAAGCAAAAGGGTGGTTGTTCAGTTGCTACTATAAGACAATTAATGATTAAAATTTCCAGGGAGAACAGTAGTCAGTGTTTTTCGTTTGTCAGGACAACAAAACAGATCCATGACATGAAGGCAACACAGACCTGTATGCTTGGGTACTGAAGTGCAGATAAAGGTCTTGCTTTCCCAAAAACCTTGAGTCTGCATGTACGCAGACCTTATCTATTGACCATGTCATTCATTATCTGCGTGGGGAGAGAGCCTTGAAAAACACCAGAACATCCACAGAACAAGATACCGTCTTTTAGTAGGACTCTCTGGAGCCATTGCGGTTCCCTTGGAGGCTGGGCGAGATGTACATATTGTTCCCGTGTGGAATGGCTCTAAGGCAAGACAAATAGTTTCCTAAATGAGGGGCTAATCCCACAGATTAACCCTGGTGGAGCAGCTCGCAGGCCTGCGTTTAGGGCAGCGTGCAGGCCTGGCACGTGCGCGCTAACAGGTACCTTCAGAGATCTGCACTCTGCTGGGTTCAAAGGGCAACCTGGAGCAGGTTAAAAAAAATCTGAAGAATTTGGTATAACAGGAGGAAAGTCCAGCCCCTGCCAGGCGGGTGGAAACCCTGCCTTCCCTTTGGCTTTGCAGACCTGCTGGCTGCAAAACTCTTCTTTGAGAGAAGCTGGGGAGCAGGGAGGTGGTCTCGCTTTGCCTCGGGCTATTAAATACCCGTGTTGTGTTTGCTGCTGTTAGCTCAGTGCTTAGAGACAGTGAATTTTCATTGGTTATTATATTGTTTTTAATCTCTTAAAAAAACTACTCCATGAAACCTGGAGGGCCAAATGCTGCCTTACTTTTAATGTGTTCAACCTTACTGACTTCATTTTGGAGACTGAGACAAGCAGCCTCGTAAGACTGGAAAAGCAGCCCGGCCGTTAGCGAGCGGGCCACTCATTTCAGTGAAGGTGGAAGGGAGGTGGAGTCTTTGCCCAGAGGTGCTTGACTTCTGAGTGATACAGAGAACCTCTTGCAAGAAGCAGAGCACCCTTGGAAAATGAGCGTTTGTTATTTTTATTTTCCACCTTTGGTTCTGCTTTTTGGATGCCCAGTTTTTGAGGCAGGCGTCCTATTTCCCCAGCTCTTTGCCTAGCTGCAAACTCTAATCATCTGGAATATTACTGCTATGGTACTATGTCTCCAACAGCTGCCCAGGTATTGGTGAAGGTTTCCCAGGGCAGACAGCAGCCCTCTCTCACCAGTTTCTTTGAAATTATCTGGTAGCAGCAGGCGGAGATTTCCCCTTTGTGAGTCACTTTGGCCTGTTCTCATGTCGCTGTGTTTCTTCAGGTTATTCTTCTCCCTTTTTCTACTTTTCTAAGAGTTTCAGTGGCAACCTGGGGGAACGTTTAGTAAAGGCAGGCATTTTTGTCAGCCTTTTCACATGGATGATGCACAAAGAGCTGAACCAGACGCCCCCACCCCGGGGCTGATTCAGTGCTGCACAAAACCCCTCTGCCTGCAGGAATTCTAGGGATAAGCCCTGCATTCCCTAGTGACACCGAGATAAACAGAAGCACGGGGAGAGCAGGAGAAGGCGAGGATGGTACCAGGCTGTAAAGTTTAAGAGATGAATGTTTCTCACTGGCCGTGATCCAAGTGATGGTTAAGAATGAAACTATCCTGAAAAAATCTGGAGAATGGCTTTTAAGGCCAACAAAAGAAAAGAAGAATTTTGCAGGTCAGTTCACAGAGCAAGCACAAGCAAGACATTTTCCTACAGAGAACAGGGAGAGAATGCAAGAACAGGATTATTTAGCCTGATGTTTCAGAAAACTCTGGGGTGTGTGTGTTGTCTGCTGCAGTAAAACATGCTGAAGGCAGCGGTGAAATCCCCTACAGAGTTTGTTGTAAGAACAGACAGCAGCCATCTGACATTGGTAGTGTTTTACCCTGACCTGACTTTGGTTTAATTAAGCACGATGTACAGCATAGGGTTGCAGCCGAGTCGAGGTATTAGTTTCCTAAAGGCTTTTGTTTTCATCTAAACAAGATTCCTCTCCAGGATTTTGTCTCTGATTGCGAAATTTCAGGGCAGATGCCCTTGTCCTGCTTTCACTCTCTCTGTAAAACATCTCACACATCTGGCACCGTGCAATTAATAACTTGTTTTCTACAGACCACTGAGCCTATGTTCTTTAACTCTATGTGTAAATCAGGTGGTATGAACAAGCGAAAGCCAAGTTTAATCAGGTTATTGCATGAGTAAGGGAGGGCGTGGTACCCCATGTGCATTAAGGGGAACTTCTGAAGTCTGGCTGGGACATGCTCGGTGACGTGGGGGGGGATGAAAGATGACTCCGTGCTGTGGCTGGCCCCGAGCTGGGCTGGTGCAGGTGCCAGGCAGAGCAGGCTGGTGCAGGCCTCCTCTCAGGAGCTGCCGACTTGTATCCAGCCCGGAATTACGGAGGTGCAGGAGTGCCCTGGGTCGTGCCTTCCCACTCCGACCTCTTCTGGGGCTGCTTGTAGGAAGCGGAGCTACCGTCACTGCCCCCATGCAGCACTGAAGGCAGCTGGATAAAAAGAGACTCCTTTCCTAAGTGTTCCTTACCTGTCATGGAAAAGCCTTGCCAGGAGAAAGATAGCTGATGATCTAAAGAAACACGGAGACGGGACAGCAGCAAGGGATCATTCCCTTAAAGCTAAAATGACAAAGGGTGAGGCTTACAGCTAGCCGGGATGAGCTGTCAGAACTCCTTGCAGAGCAGCGGGAATTCTTTGCTCGAAAGGCAGTGACACATGGAGTGAGACTGAGGGAGGGGCAGGAAAGAAAATGGAAATATTTGATCGTTTCTCTGAAATCCCAGCCCAGACAACTTGGACCGCAAGTAAGCATGTTTGCTTAGCAGTAAAACGCGCCGCACACTCTGCTAATGAGAACTACATTCAAAGTTCCCGTATCTCTGCATTCACGTGTTCAGATCATTTAGATGACAGGTGGCAACTACAGGGCTTCCATGCAACAGTCATGTGACAAGGTCTGCTCCGAGAGTGCCAAGCACAGGGCTGTGCTTCCCGATGAACAATTTACGGGAGTCTGTCATTGCCAAATGAGGGGCTCTGACACAGGCACAGTCACAGTCCTGACTGCGACTCAGTAGCCAAAGTGGAGGCCGAGTCTGGAAGAGGGCTGCCTGTGGAAGAAGTGCTGGCACTAAGACGCGCATTCACCTCTCCCACAGCACCCTTGGGCAGGTTTTAAATATTGCAAGTGTTTGGACTTGGACTATCCATTAGAGGTGGTTCTCCCACTCTGAGCAAAATACTTGGCCTGTGTCAAGCAAGTGAGAAGTGGGTAAGTCCTCTACTGAAGGAAAATTGGATGGGTCCCTCAGCCCCTGTGTAAAAAGTGCTGAGGAGAGGGAAGTACAGAGGGCTGGGAAGCAGGCTGTATCAGCTCTTTCTTTTGCAAAATGTAAAGCTATAGTTTGTTTAAACTGGCACAAATCGGGAGCGATTCCACTGCAGCCTACTGATAGGCACTGGAGAAAAGCAGAGGACGTGACAGAAAAATCAGGGCTGTCCAGTCGCAGTGACGGTTGGGAATTACGCAGTGATTTCTGCAACATCTCTTGGTGACATGACAACACCTGTCCATTGTATTTCTTTAGATATGTGAAACCAGTTTTGGTTTGCCCAGCAGTTTCATGAATCCTCCTAGCTTCGTTCTCTCCTTGCTTTACTGATCACTATGCATTGCAGGGCAGAACCAAATTTCTTTCAGCTGGGTGGATGTGTGTGGCTCCCTCCAGCAGGCAGAGCTGGCTGCTACAGATCTGCTTCCTCAGGCACGGTATCACCGAGTAATCTCTTTGTATTCTGCATTAAATACATGAGTAAGATAATTTCTACAGGCATTTCAGCTCCTCGCTCAACTTATGAACAAGTTTAGAGTTAGATGTCACAGTGAAACAGAGTAACAGGGACAGAAAATAGAAAGGCCTACACTCAGAGGCCTTTTTAACAAGCAAATAATTTTAAATAGTACCTAAAGCATTTTTTTCAACCTGGAAATTAACAAAGTTCCTCAAAAGATCAACGTTTTGAATCC